TAGGATTTCCTGATACAGACCATATCACCAAAGATCCACGCACTGAGGAGTGCATAGTTGTTGTTAAATGGCTAACAAATTCTTTTAGGTTAGGGATTTGACCCACATCCAATTTAGCCTCTATATTCATCTGCAAGTAACAGTCACCATGTCAACTGTAAAAAAGGAGCACATAAAAATAGATGGAACGGTTCCCAAAGGTCAACTCTTTCATGCTGGACTGAAATGTTTAGGTAACCCCAAGCATAAAAAAGAATGCCTGTACAGCATCCAAATCAACTTCATGAAAGATGTATAATAATCATTGTTGGGGAACACACCAAACTAATTCCCACAGATCACAGCAAATTATTTTGTGATTATCAACTCTTTGCCATTTATAAATTTTCACAAGAAAAAGGTTTTGGATGTAAAAACTTATTCAGCATCATATTAACTCTTTGTTATGATCTTTAAACCATTTTTTCCTCCACCAGATATCTGTACCTCACTACCTCTGCTGCTCTGTAGTCCGGGACTTAAGTGTTTGCATGCTCAAATGAACAGAATAAAATTAAGAAGCATCAAAAGATTAGTATACAAAATATACCAGCCATCCATCAAAGCCCAAAGCAACAGCAAGCTCTGCCAAGCGCTCAGCATACTTTCTAGCAGACTCTTTTGTTGACAGCAGTTGCTTACATATAACTCTCCCTTCATCCCCTTCCGTGATGAAAGTCCCCAATACCTTAGATTCCACAGACACAAGCAAACATTTATAAAAACTATTTCAGCATATTAATATAATTTAGACAGAGCATTTATAAAAATATCTTATACTAGAAATTATATTCTAATCATCACAATATACATAATCATAGGTAGCACAGAACTTGATGAGTAAAGCAGCTCAACGCAACGCCTATCTCTAACTAAACAAAAGCAATCAATTAAACGAAACAAACACCAAACTAATAACAGTCAATAGAATCGTTAATTCAAAAAGAACGATGCTTTAACAGTTGAGTCCTGTTAGCTCACAGATAGATAGGCCCACCATTTTTCTGCTTAAGCTAAGCGACATTAAAAAACTTTCAATCCATTACAACACAATCTCCACTCTAAAAACCCAATGAGGACAAAAGGAGGAGGTTTCATATGATAACTGACCTTAACTCCATGCCTATGAGCAGTATTGGTCCAACATGGAGGTGGCAGAGTGACTAGCTTATGTGAGAAGTACACAAAAACATCGATCAAATGCCAGTGCCATATGGCATAAGCACCAGCGTTGGAGCCCCCTTGAACCAACTTATCGTCCCCGTAACCGCCCTCCATATCGTGGCAGACCAGGACCCTCGGCCTATCTTGCAGACTCAACTTGTTCCTCTGGAGAGGAACCCGGGACTTGTTGAAGGGGTAGTGAAAGGAATCGAAGTAGGTGCGAGAGTCAAGGTCTTGGAGGGTCTTGATCGGGTAGGAGATGGGAACAGACGGCTTTGATGGGTCGAAGGGAGGACCCGCGGCGTGGGATTGGTGGTCGTCGGACTGTGACATCGGAAGGAGTGGCTTGATCTTTTTGTGGACTGATTTGAGAAGATTGAAGAGAGTAACACGGACCTTGCGGCGTACATGGTGGCTGAGAAATGGAAGGAATAGAAGAAGAAGCATTGACTTGGAAGCCATGGCTCGGCGAGTTTGGAAAGACTTTTCTGCTTCGGTCATGCGCTCATATTCTTGCTGGGAATTTTCGTTATGTAGAAGAAGTGGGAATTTTCAATATGTGAAGTAAAGGAAACGCTTGCGTTCCATTGGTGGCAATGGAAAACGAAGACCGTCAATTGGGAAAAAATTATTTAAAGCAATAATTTCAAACTGGAGTTCTTAATTTTTGGTGCCCAATTATTGAAAATATGAAAAATAAAGATAAATTATGGATAAATTATTCATTCAATAATTAAATCCTTAATTTATTTCACTGATAGAGAATTCACTATTATTGATTAAAAAAATGACATTAAAAAAAGAAAAAAAAAACAAAAACACTATAAGAATTAAAACTTGAAAGATATTATAACCCATCAACACCAGGCAAAGATCCTTACCCTTAGCCTTAAAGCTTAAAGACACTTACCCTTAGCCTTAAAGCTTAAAGATCCTTACCCTTAGCCTTAACCTTCAATCCCTAAATGAACGGAAGCAACAATTGCACCAACTTCGACCAAAGTAGGGTAAAATTCTCGACAAAAAAAGCCTAATTATAGAATATGTTAAAAATTTTCCTCAAGAAAGTTTTTATTTATTTATTT